ATTTGGAGCACCAAAGAGAACCAAAGAGGAAAGAATATGTTTTGGTTGCAAGTTATAAGAACCTAACTCCAATAAGCAAAGCTAGATGGGGGCTTTATTAAAAACATATAGTGAGGTGTCTAACAGAATCAAAGAAAGAGGTGACCAGTCAAATCTCAAGAAGCCAGAATCAAGGCCAGGAAAGCCACAGGACATACTCTCTCATCTTATGTCTGGCTACTCTGTTCATGATGAGCTTGTTTTCTCTTACCACAGAGTGGCATTCTACATCTGAGCTGAGGATACACCATTGGTTTTAGAGTGCACATCCTCATATATTTGTCATTCAAAGGGAAAGAAAATAGCTCCAGTTTTAAAAAAATCTTAGAGAGGGATTCTGGTTGGCCCCACTTGATCACATGCCCCCTTTACTGACAGTCTTCACTAGAATCACCTGGTTTGAATGAGAAAGTAGTAGTACTGCAAAAGAAGAGGTTGCCATTTCCTGAAGAAATGAGGGGAGACATGATAGCTGGCTATTAAAAGAAATGATTTACCAGAGGTCCTACAGCAAGTGAGGGACAAATTCAGGGCTAGAAACGGAATCAATAAAATAATAATTATTAATAATAGTGGAAGTCTCTAGATTCTTTTCATGTGTGGTGTTGAAGTAAACCTCAGTGTTACGAGTGCTCATTCATTTCTATTTTTAAAAGATTGCTATTGTGTGGAGGGTAGACTGTAGGTGTGCAAGTGTGGAGTAGGGAAACTGGCTACAAGCTCTGTGTTAGCTCCTAGGTAAGAGAGAAACAATGGTGCCTTGGACCAAGGTCATGGCAATGGAAATGGACAAATGTGGGCAGACTTGAGATAGACTTTAGAAGTAGAATCATAGGACTTGGTGTTGGATTAGATGTGGACACTAAGAAAAAGAAATACAAGGAATTAAGAATGATACCGAGATTTCTGTGAAGAGTAGGGTTAAAATAAATTTGGAGCAGAATCAAGAGTTCCAGTGTGGACATGGTAAGTTTGAGACATGGAGATGTCTAGTAGGTACTTGTGTATACATGTCATTAACAAAGATGTAGCATCTAAAGCCTCAGGACTAGATGAGGCTCCAAGGAAGAAACTATAGCTAGAGCAGAGGGCCCAACTGTTCTTTTAGTCATCCCTTCTGCCTATACTGAATCCTTCTGCTAGGCTTCCAGCCAGGAACTTCAGGTGGGAATCAGAACCATTATTACAGTGAATCCCATGCAATGAGAAGCCCGACTCATCCCTTGGGGGGAGCTAAGAACTAACCAAATGAACTGTTAAACAAGCATCAGAACTCCATGAGACGTGACTTGATTGCTCCAAAGTACACCCTTTGGACAACTAAACAAATGATGAGAAACTGCCCTGCTGTAAACCACTGTGATATTTTCCTTTGGGGTCCTCTTCAGAGCCAAGCTTTAGGACCCAGGAAAATTTACCAGACTTAGTTTCAGATGACTTAGGGTTGCTTCCATTGGTAGATTGGAAAATGGCCACAACATTTTACAGCTCCTCCTATCAAGAGATGGCATCTATTCCTCCACCCCTTAAAATTAGGCTTGGCTATATGACTTGTTAGTCAGTTGGACATGAACAAACATGATACAAATAGAGGCTTGAAAAGTGCTTCTGCATTGGAGCTTGCCCTCTCTTGCTGCTGGGAAAACCTCCACCACCATGTGAACAAGTCTGGGTCCCCTTCTGGAAAATGAAAACATAGAGAGAGACCTCAACCACCCTGGTCATCTCAGCTGGGTCCCCAGACACATGAATGAAGCCGTTCTAGACCATCCAGCCTGGCCAGAGCAAACACCCAGCTGACCTATAGAATCATGAGAAATAACAAATGTTTACTGCTTTCAGTCACTAAGCTTTGGAGTGGTTTATTATATCTCTCAGAGGACAATTAACTCTGAACCAGACATCTACAGATGTGTCACAGGTACAGATATTCTTGATCTCACTCTTACTTTTTTTTTTTTTTTTTGGCCACGCCACATGGCTTGCGGGATCTTAGTTCCCCGACCAGGGATTAAACCCAGAGTCCTAACCACTGGACCACCAGGGAATTCCCTCTTACTCTTACTCTTTTTGGAGGATTTGTGTTCAATCAGCCATCAAAGGTTTAAACTAAAAGGTGAAAGCTTAATTGAGAAATGTAAAGTGATGGCCAGGGGCAGTGGAGTCTTCCTCAGGCCCCTGACACAGCTCCACATAGGTGATTCAGGTTTTCCGGTTACGTGTTCTCATAGAATGATGTAGCTTTCCTTCACTGCATTTTGTAATTCTATTTGGGTGATTATTTTACAATGTCTAGACTCAACTACAAGCTATTGGGCTATAAGCTTGATGAAGGCAAGGATTGTGTCTAATTTACCACTGATTGTATCCTGGCACATACTAGACACTAATTTGTGGAATGAATAAATTTGAATTTTGCCTACCTCATATAAGGGATCCAGGCCTTCAAAACCATCACTTAAAAGTATTTGTATCCAATGGGCCTGTCTCTTGCAGGCACTCCCAGTCACAGGCTGTTGCTTGATTCTCCAGCTGTGGCAGGTAATCAGGTGTAGGTTTGGGATGGGGAATCTGAAATCAATGAGATTCCAGGACATTTGTTGCTGTAATTCCTTCTACTTACACTGAACTATTGGCAAACAAACTCAAATGAACATTCCTCAAGACACTGTAGGAAGCTTGATACATAAGCAAGGAGCTTGGAGCAGGTGGTGTAACTGGGAAAGTCAGGTCTGGAGAATGTTCATATCATTCTGTGGACATTATAAGGCTGCAGTCACAAAACAATTGTGAAACCAATGTCCCAAGTGAGGCTGTTTAATTCTGACAATCTTTGGAAATCTGTCACTACCAACACCTCAAATATACAGTCTGAAGAGGAAAATTGAAAGAGCAAGAGTCAGACCGAGGTGGGTTCAAATGATACTAATGAATGACTTAGGCATGTTAACTTTATCAAGGCTATGTTTCCTTGCCTGCCAAATTGGGATAATAATATTTCAGAAACAGCACCTCCCTTAGACTATAGGTACCTGCAGGGAAGGACCATTTGTTTTCATATATATTTATCCAGTGTTTAATAGTGCCAGACCTATAGCAGATACAGAGTAGGTGAATTTCTTCCTAGAGGTAATCCAAGACCTAGTCCTGGCTCCATCACTAATCCACCCACAGAGAGACCTTAGAAAATTTCCTCCCCCTCCCTGGACCTCAACCTTCCTTTTTGTACAAAGAGGAGCCTGGACAAGATTTTTTCTAAGCTCCCTTCCAGATCTAATATTTAATGAGTCTGTGACCATTTAGTACAATCTACAATCTAGGTCATTGCTGCTCCTAGAAGTTACGGACTGAGGAGACAGTAGTAAGTCACCAATCACTTTGTATTTACAGATACACATGCATTTAAAACAGATTCTATAAATAGCTACAATATTGTATTGCACTTTTGGCCTACTTTTGCTTTTTTAGAGGTCAAGAGGTTTTTTTTAATCTTCTTTTATTTGGAATGTTAAGCAAGATGAAAACTGGGACAAGTTGCCATAAACATATATTATGCAGCTTGAACCTAATTGCACTATTACCATGATCGAAGAACGTTCACTGCCATCAGCTGGAAGCTGCTGCCTTCCACTCGGCAGAAACGAGGTCACAGAGCAAGGCTGGGGAATTGCCATCTAACAAGCAGATCTGTTTGTTGCCCGGTAGAAGAGTTTGTCACTATTACATTTAACTGTTGATTCCATCTGTTGTGAAGATGCCTGTTCCCTTGAACTGGCACCTGAGTTATTAGGAATTTGACAGTTTTTAAGTAAAAAATTCAATTTTTGCCTGGATACTCAGTAGGAGAGAAAGGATTATTGGATATATGTACTAACATACCCAGGGGTCATGAGGAACTTGGTCTGAAATCCTAGTACTTGGGTAGATGGGTGTTACTGGCCAGAAAAATAGTAATTATTCCTGACCTGTAGAGGACTTTACAGTGTAAAGAGCACATTCAGAACACTGCCCTGGGAAGGGACCACATTCTTCCATTGTCAGAGAACTTTATAAACTTATGCCCCATTGCTGATGCAGGGAGGCTGCTCGCAGCACTGCTTGAGAGCTAGATAAGAATTGCCTGACAGAGGCAGATACAGGGAAAGCCAGCACTTAGGCCTCAGAAACATGGGCATTTTTTTGCTCAGGCCCATGGGACCTGGTTGCCTCAGAGCCTCCTTCCCAGAAGCGTTAGACAGCTATCACCTCAGATTAGCCTGAGTAGCTGAAAAATTTATTAACAGATTGGAGACATAAGTCTTTTCTCCAGTAGACTCGGAATCTGATGGCCTTGGGATTGAATTCTACTGTGGCTCTAACACTTGCTAGTTGTGTGATCTTGGCCAAGTCTCTTAACTTCTTTGGATCACTGTACTGTAAGAAACGTAGTACAGAATGTGGTGAAAAGCACAGACCTTGGAGCCTACTTTCTGGCTTTGAACCCCAGCTCTACCACTTACCAATTATGTGACCTTAGGCAAGCTAGAGAACCTTTTTGTTCCTTAATTTCCTTGTCTTTAAATGAGATTGATTATAGTGCCTCCCTCACAAGGATGCTGGAAAGATAAATGAGTTAATACATGTTAAGTGCTTGGAGCAATGGCTAGTATTGAGTAAGCATGACAACAGTATTAGCCTCGGTGATATTGGGGTGATAGTCCTCATCTCTTGGGTTTATTTTGCAGATCAACAGAAATGTTGAAGGTGAAAAAAAAGAGTCTCAGAGTTATTCATGCCAGAAGGGACCCGAAAGATTACCCACGTAACCTCCCTCTTTTTTTTTTTTTTTTTTTTTTTCCGGTACACGGGCCTCTCACTGTTGTGGCCTCTCCCATTGCGGAGCACAGGCTCCGGACGCGCAGGCTCAGCGGCCATGGCTCACGGGCCCAGCCGCTCCACGGGATGTGGGATCTTCCCAGACCGGGGCACGAACCCGTGTCCCCTGCATCGGCAGGTGGACTCTCAACCACTGCGCCACCAGGGAAGCCCACCTCCCTCATTTTATAAGTGGGAAATCAAGACTCAGTGATGGGGAATGACTGGTCCAGAGTCACACTTGATTTATGGGCAGAGTCTGAGTCTCCTGATTCCAAGTCCAAAGCGCCATCCTCTGCACTGTGTCAAAGAAGGCAACATCTCCACAGAGCTGACCCTGAAGGGTCCTTTTATGTAGTCATTGGACCTGTTGCTAGTTAATGCACTTTCCTAGGAAAATAAGCTGCATTTAAAATGGAGAGAAAACTTGGGAGAGACTCTCCCTCCTCCCCCACTGACTTCTGAAGTGTCAAGCTGGGGATTCAGGTCAAGGCTGGGAGGAAAGATTTTCAGGAATCATTGCTAGCTCCACATCATTATTTCAGTCAAAAACCAAACATGTGCCTGTGTCCAAACAAGCTAGAACCATGAACTGATGCAGTCAGTTTGTTGCTGGTGTCAGAGGCGTGTTTTTTGTTTTTTGTTTTCTTTGGGTGTTTAATTAAGTGGTTTCCACCAGAAGGAGTTTCACATCTGCTCTTCAGTAGAAACTAAGCTTTCACCCTCAGGAGAAGGAGGTTAGGATTGGGACCTCTGAGTTCACTTTTCCCAATTTTTTCAGGGTCATACCCCCTTAGATTTATTCTGCTTTGAATCACATTTCCCAGTTGGACTACTCAAGAGTGATTGAAACATGGGCTGGAGGAAAGGGCAGGATGGGGAGAAGACCCTAAGAAGAAGGGCAGATGGGATTAGAACTATTTGATTTAGAGAAAGGGCAGATTCCAGGGGTCATAATTTCTGTTCTCAAATCATCTAAGGGTGTCACGGGGCAGAGGGAGCAGAGACTGTGAAGTCTCTGACAGCAGAGCTGGTACAAATGGAGTGGGAAGAGGAAGAAGAATTTCCAGGAGGCAGATTTCAGCTTAAAGCAAGGAAGACGTTCTGATTATGAGAGATGGCCAAAGATGGTGTGGAAACTGAGCTCCCATCCCTGCCTAGAAGGTATGCTTTAGAAGAGATTTGGCTGTGAGGCTTGACAGCCAATTGTCAGAGACATGAAGATTGGAATTGACTAGTGAGACTTGGTAAAATTTGGGATTCCACCAACTATAAATTTTTCAGATTCTGGGAGTCTAAGAACCAATGACCAATGTCATGGAGTTCCACAGTTAAGAACCTACTGGAAAGCAGCAAAATCAGAAATTCGTGACCTGTTTATCTTGCCTGTGTTTCTCTTTTTCTCTCTTTGTCTTTCTTGAGCTCATGCACTTGCTCTTTCATATAGCAGGAACCTTTGACATTTTGCAGGGGATAATCTTTTTCTTTTAAGTGTGTTTCTGACTCAGCCTTTGCTCCTTCAGCATCATTTAGAGAGGCTGAGCTTTCTGGAGATTAGCTCTGGCCTGTCACCACAGCAACTGCCCAGGCCCTGTGGGCATCCGTGGTAACAGGCGAGGGCTTTGAGAAACAAGGCTTGTCTAGTGGTGAGAGGAATCCCCACAGGGAGCCTGATATGAAACAAGCAGGTTGTGTATGGAGAGGTCTTTTTCAAAAGGATTAGCTATGCAGGTGTGTCTCACTTTACACAGTTGGCCAGGCCCTGAAAAGTGTGCGTGGGTGTGTCAAATTTTGGTCAAGGGAGGAAATCTTATTTTAAAGGCAGGAAAGAGACTCGCTTTTCCAAGTCCCTGTAGTGAATTCCCTTCATAAAGTGGATTCTCCTTTTGTAAAATGAACCTCTGCCCACATTACGACCTAGTTAGTCTAGTGCTGAGTGTCTGTGAGTGGGGCCATCCATAGAGAACCCCAGGGGCATGCTTCCACTTTCACTGCAGGCAAGGAACAGCAGCAAATCAGCTGAGGGAAGACAGAGTATAACGGAGAAGCAAAGTGGGTGCGGTGCCACAATGAAGGGAGATCAGGACAGTGGGCCTTGCCTAGCATGAGCAGCTCTGCTGCAGCAGTGGCGGGGTGTCTGAGAGACGGGTGTTCTTGGAGGTGCCCAGCAAGGAGGGGTCTGTGTCCAGCGTATCAGACATCTTGTCGCAAATGGCATCCACCAGACACTCGAAGGCCTGCCTCACGCTGATGTTCTCCTTGGCGCTGGCTTCAAAGAAGTCAAACCCTGAGGATAGAAGAGAGATAGCAGTAAGGATCTTTCCCTTCCTTTTCATGCCCCCTGGCCAGAACACTCTGCATTAATACAGCCAGTGCTCAGGAGTAAAGCAAGAAGGCCTAATTCCACGGGCAGAGGATTCTGCCTCAAGGAGAGGGTACCGGGCAGGTATTACCTGCACTGGTTTTAGAGTCAGACGGATCCTGGCTCTATCACTGACCAGCTGTGTAACCCTGGGCAAGTCACCTATTTTCTTTAGGAATCAATTCCCTGGTTTATAAATTGGGATAATTTTATCTATCTCATAGAATTATTTCAAGGTTTAAACAAGATGATGCATGTAAAGTGTATAGTCCTGTGCCTGATAACACGGCGTGTGTGTGTGTGTGTGTGTGTGTGTGTGTGTGTGTGTGTGTGTGAGATAATTAGGTGTTTTCTGAGAGTGACTACTTGACTATGTGTACACAGCACTTGAGCTTCCAAAGCACTGATCAGCACCCATTATCTCATTTGATCCTCATGTCACCCCTAGGGGAAGGAGGGTCCAGGCAGAGCCTCTCCATTTCACTAATGCTCACGCTGTGGCTCAGAGAAGTAAGCTGACCTGCCCAGGGTCACCAGTATAAGAAGCCCAAGCTTTGTCCTTTTTGACCAGGGCTTTCACTCCACTTTCCCCTGCCTCTGCTCACCCCAGCCTGGCCAGTCTAGGCTGGGTTCTGGGAGACACTCCAAGATCCACACTGGAGAAGCGGAGCTTCATTTGCTCTGTCTACTCACAGACACACTGGGTTATCACCCCTCAGAGGGGTTCCTCCTCCCTGAATTTCCAGGAATCGCCCTGGATCTCTCGCTCCTCACACGGGCCCAACAAATTGCCCAGGAAAAACTGCACCTGAAGGGTGAGACATTCTTGTCTGTTTTGCACCTTGAGATCCTTAAAGGTACTTTCTGTGACAATGAACAGAACTTGGTTGTCCCAGGAGACACGAGCAAGGCCCTCCTGATTCAGACAAAGCGGCTGCTTTCCAACTGAGGGTCTTGGCCAGGTTGGTGGCAGTCCTTAGAGGCATAAGCCTCCATTCTCCATCATGTCCCTGCGCCGGCCTACTCCTTCCTCTGTTGTCTGTCCACCTTCCTCTTTCCCTTCCTTCTGAGTCCATCTTTATTTCTCCTCAAAAGCTTCCCTCTTCCCTTTTTTCCATGTTACCTCCTTCTTTTCCCCTTATGTTTCTCATACTCCTTGGGATCCTTAATATTTATTGAGTGCCTACTATATGCCAGATGCTATGCTAGGAGCTTTACAAATATTGTTTTCCTTAATCCTCACAACAGCCTGTGGGGTAAATATAATCATCTCCAATTTACAAAAGAAAAATGAAGGCTCTAAGAGATTACCTAACTCACACAAGGTCACGTGACTGTGTTAGTGGAAACTGGTTTTAGATCTGGGTCTGGCTAGCTCCTACATCCATACACACCCCTGCCTCCCGTTTCGGCCTCCTTTGCTTTTATCTGACTACCACAGTGTCTGAATCTGGGCAAGTCACTTCATCTTTCTGAATCACTTAACCTCTCTGAGTCTCGGCCTCCTTGTTTGTCAAATGGGAATAACAACAGCATCTTCCTGCTGAGAGCAGTCCTGGAGGACTGAGCGATACAATGGATAAATTGCTGTACGAATTGCCTGTTACAATGACAGTTTCTTTCTGCTCATCTTTCATCTGCTCCTCTCACTTCCCCTTCATCCCTTTCCTCCCTCTTTTGTCATCCTCTCACACAGAGGAGGGGGGTCTCTTTCCTCCTCCCTCCTTCTCCCTATTATCCCATTGTCCACAGAGAGGGCTGAAGCCCCCAGGTACAAACAGGGCTCCTCTTCCCCGGGCCACGCCAGCTTGAAGGCACTCGCAATTCCTGCCAGCCCGCCTCTGGTTGACAGCCTCTCCTGTAGCCCATTTCCCGACCTGAGAAAGCAAGGTGCAGAAGTGCCTGCTAATTGAGGACATGTGATGAAGAAGGAAGCGGCTGCTGGCTCCTTATCCTCAGGCTGTAGAGACGCAGTTGGCTTGAGAGACCCTCCAGCATGTAGCTTTTCCTTAACGAATATCATAAACATTGACTCTCTGGCCTTTGACTGGTTTGTTACAAGTGACAGTGTTTGGGGAAGTGGGCAGAGTATGTTGCTTGCCTAGGAAAGGGGCAAACAGGTAAAGAAGTAAGTAGGCTTAAACCATCAGTTTGGATGAAGATGGGGACACAGGTCAAGGCCAGGATCACCAATCCCTTCTGAGGAATTGGCACTGAGGGGAGGACGTGTCCTATTGTGCAGGTGGGCAGTGGGAAGAAGCCCAGAAGTCAGACAGCCTGGATTTGAATATAGTCTCTGTCAGCTACCAGCTGTGTGACCTCAGGCAAATTGCCTAATTTCTCCCAGGCTCTGTATCCTCATCTGTAGAATGGGTGAATATCACCTACCTCATAGGGTGGTAATAAGAATTAAACGCACAAAAGTATGTGAAGTGGTTGGCACGTGTAATACATGACCATTCCCTTTCCCTTATGTTCCCAGCCCATCTGAGTCCCAGCTTCCTTGCCCCTCCATCAGTCCCCAGGGCCTTTGGGGAAAGCCTCTTTTTCTTCATCATTCAGGGTCAATCAATAAACCAGGTCTTTATTGAACATTAACTTTGTGCCAGGTCTTGCATTGAGTGCCAGGGACAAGGGGAGACCAAATCTAATTGTGGAGAAAAGACACACTTATCAGAGTGTCAGTCCCTCACACGTTCATAGTCCTTAACGATTCCCAAATACAATTTTAAAACAACTTTTTGGGGGGGTCAAGGCAAGGGTTATCACTTATAATTTACAGATAGGGACACTGAGGCTCAGGGATGGGGCATAAGCCAGGGCTCTATCCCTTATGCCCCCTTGTCTCACTCTCAGTTGGGACAGTGACAGAATACACTATAACCCAGGTAGAGCAAACCAGAGGCTGTGCAGGAATGCGGCAGAGGGAGAGAGTGGCAGGGGAGGAGAGGGGGAATAGGCTTCCAAAAGTTAGTGGCGATGGGTGTCTTTAAGGCCAGAACAGAGCAAAACTCTTCACCTGACTAACTTATTCTTTAGGACTCAGCTTAGGTATGGCTTTGCCTCCTCCTCTGTGCTTCCCTCTGCCACAGCACGTGTTACCGTGCATGGTGGAAGTCCAAGGAGCTCCCCAAGCGGGGACCACGTCATTCATCTGAGCTCCAGTACCAGCCAGAAGAGTAGGGGCTTGGTGAATGTTAACTGAATGAACAGACAGATGGATGCAGGAGACGGGAATGAGCGTGGAGGATGTGGTTGAGGGGCTGTGGACAGTGGGGTTCATGAGAACTCATCTCAATAAGCACGGCAAACCCTGTGCTGGGCACTGGGGACACTGAAGTGAATCAGATGAGGTTCCTAACCTTGAGAAGCAGAGATAGACACACTGACAGTGTGATAAATGCTGGAAGGGTGGGGAGTGAGGGAACTGTCATGGCACAGAGGAGGCAGTTATCTGAGCCTGGGGCCCAGAGAAGTCTTCTTGGAGAAGCTGATTCTTAAGCAGATATCAGCTAGATAAAGACATGTGTGAGCACATGCATGTATAGGACACCAGGCAGGGGAAACCGCATAAACACATATAATGGGACAAAAAACAGTCTTGGTATATCCCAGTATGACCATAGCAGTTTGTTATCATTAGAGCAGCAAGCTCAAAGTGGTGACGGAAGAGGGAGTAAGTAACCAAACACGGAGAGCGCATATGTCAGGCCAAGGAGATGTCATCACTGCCGTCTCAAAGATACCCAAGGTATGAGAACTCTGATTCAAGTAACTGGTGCCTGACCCTGGCCAGCTCGTGGGTCTCTTTTGCTAGCAGAACAATCCCAAATGCACCTCCACCTAACGACTGTCAGACTCCTGGAAGGCTCTTCATTAGTAGGCCCAGGCGGTAACCTTTCCTCAGGTTCGTTAGTCAGGAGTCTCAGGAGCTGAGAATCTAGAGAGCTCAGGAAGATGAGGACCGCTTAATCAGACTATCCCCCAGTCCTTTCCTCCCTCTAATTGGCTTCAGAACAATGGAATTTCTGCTGCCTTTAATTGGGCCCAATTCTTAATTGAATCTGAGATGATTCCCACCCCCAAAATGCTCCTGTTTACCTATCCTGTCCAAAGGCAGCTGTCGCAGCCCCACAGATTCCACTGACTCTGTCCACACTGCCTGCTTCTGAATTTGACTTTAGAACTCTTTTCAGAAACTCACAACTAGCTAAACTTGCTTCTCCTCACCCTGAAACTGCCCCAGAACGTTTCTCCTCTACTTTTATGTTCAAATCCCTTCTCTAGCCTGCTCTGATACCTCATCATCTCCATCTTGTATCAGTCTTCAACTCAAGCCCCTCCGGTCACTGATGGTTTTGGCAAGGGATTCGCTGTCTTCCTTTCCACCCAGCCTTGTACTCATTCTCAGGAACTTTGGGTTTCAGGCAGACAATCCATCCGACACCCTGGCTCTTAATTTCTTAACCATCTCATTTCCAGCAACATTCTCTTCCGTTTTGTTTCTGCTATGCCCCTGTCCTTATAACTTGAGCTATTTTGACTTAGATTTGTGTCACTGGAACTCAAAGAGGTTTAATTCATCCAATATCCAGCCTCATTAGGTTGACACCCAAGATTCTGCATGGCTCAGCCTCTGTCCACTTCCCCAGCCTCATCCTCCTGGCTCACACCATGCTCCAGAAACATCGACACTTTCTTATTTGGTTTCTTTACTCATGCTACTTCCTACTCTTTAGTTCCTATACCTAATCCTCTTCATTACTCACCTGTGGAATCCCTGATTCCACAGAGCCTTCCCTTTCTCTCCCCACCCCATCTCCACCACTCAGAACATACAATGCACCGCTCCCCTAGACTCCCATGGTACCTGACATGATTGTTTCAGTCAGAGTCCATCAGGAAAATGGGCACTATTCTTAAAA